TATATATATTGTGGTTTGTGACAAAGTTCCCTATCAAGGGTCAGTGGGGTGCTCAGGTTCCACCTATGTACTAGTTACCTATACTTCCTCTATAATTCCTATTGTATCAGGAAACCATGTGTGTAAGTTCATTCTACTCTAGGCGGACCCCAATGCAATCAACTCCTCTAGACTTCCAGGCAGTGGGTACGTTATTCCCAACAACATCAAGGAACAATGATAATGGATCACTGCATTTCTGGATAGAGAAAACAGGATCTGTGTCCCTACTCCACACACAGTGCTTTCACAGAGTGCCTCTCTGAGAAAGCACCATGTTTGGTGTAAAATGTATAAGCACACAGATCTGGTATGCCGTAGTTTATTAAAGAAGGCTTCGGCGAACCCTTCACAGTTTATGTGGTAAAGGTGTTCCTGTGTTGTCCACCTACAAGTTTAGACTTGTTTTCAGTTGGGTTCCCTATTGTAAGGATAATTCTAAATATAAGTACAATGAACCCTGGAGATTCTTGACCTGTCCTTTATGATGTTTCTAATTTAAGACATTTCCTCTCTATCCCAACGTCAGGCAGAAATGGAAAAAAGTCTGTGGCTTTCATGACCTGGTCAAGGTGTAGAAAGGACCTTTTTGCAGAGTAACTCCTGGACTGGTTGATCAACAAATGGCCATATTGAATACAGCCCCTGAGGCTCCAATGGTAGCTTTGGTGACCTGGTCAAGGCGTCCAAAGTACCTTTTTTGCAGGGTAACACCTGGACTGGTTGATCCACAAATGGCCATATTGAATACAGCCCCTGAGGCTCCAAGGGTAGCTTTGGTGACCTTGTTAAGGCGTCCAAAGTACCTTTTTTGCAGGGTAACTTCTGGACTGGTTGATCAACAAGTGGCCATATTGAATACATCCCTGAGACTCTAAGGGTAGCTTTGGTGACCTTACCAAGGAACCTTTTTCCAAGTTAATTGCTGGGCCAGTTGATCAATGAGTGGCCATATTGAGACACCTTCTTGTACATCTAGATGCACCCTTTAGAGCTTCATATCCCTGTTTTAGAATAACGTATTGTATTTATTAAAAGTTTAAAAAATAACCACAGTACATGTGGTGGGGCCCATAACAAAATCATTGGAGGGTTCCTTGGCTCTTCAAATGCTTTAGAATTTCCAGTGTAACAAAATAGTAGGATATATTGAAAATATGAATTATTAGTTATTATCAATGAATTATCTTTTTTAATGTCCTTTCTTTCAATGTGGAAACAGCATATATATATGATGTCCATGATCTGACAGCCTAAATAGTTTTGTGGCTGTGCTCACCTGCTCAGCTTAATTGTGCCTATTGACAGCCCAACTTACTTAGAGTACAATAGGGAAGATCATTTAGCATTATGGGTTCTGAGCTGGTTTTATTTTCCATGTTTAGATGTGCTCAGGTAAGAGAGGGCTGCCACATAACATGTCCTAGTTTCTTTAAAGTAGAACTCCAGCAAAACATAAGAACATAAAAATGAGTAGCCCATTGAAAGATAAACTATTACAACCTCCACTTAGGCTTCTCAATTGTACATCCATATGTCGCTGTGTCATTTAAGGTTCATGAACCCCATAACCAATGCTCCCTCACATGAGGGATTGTTATTTCTTTCTGAATCACAAGGATGGAGACAATAGTGTTCAGGGAAGGTCCAAACAATGAATTGATAAATGACTAAACAATCTCCTTATTTACTTACCATCCACAAAGTACTTGGATTTAGCAAAATTCAGAAACAGTTCTCCTCCCGCTGATTTCAGCACAGCAATGCTTGTGTCGTTTACCCAAGGGAACCGCTTGCCTTGACATATGGTAGACAGGCCCCATAGATCTTCATGGTACAGGTCAGGGATTGAGCAGTTGTAAACATTTGGGTTGTAGTAGAGAAGTTGGGCAGCTGTCCAGTATCCAGTGAAAAATCCAGTAAAAAAAATAAATCATATTCGTTAGTATTAATTTTCTACAGTTATTCAAACCCTGTTTTTGGAGGAAATGTAAGACGTAGCTTCAAAGACCAGTGGTCCCTGTTTGTGTCAGCAGGCCTTTGACTGCATATAACTGGCTCTTGGGGCACTAATTCTCTAATTGACACCAATGATGGGGCACCATTACTCCATCTGACACAAACAAAGGGGCATTATTCCTCACATGGATACCAATGAAAATATTTCTCCCTCTACCTATGACACCAATGACTGGGTATTATTATTTTCACTGACCCCAACGATCTTGCATTATTTCTCCCTCTAACACCAATAATAGGGCACTATTCCTACCTTAGGCACCAACAATGCATTATTTTCCCACTGACACCAACAATTGGGCTATTTGTTTCTCCTCCTGGCACTAATGATGTCATGTCATGGTTCCTCACACTAACACCAATAATGGGGTCCTATCATTCTCACTGACACCCATGATAGGACGCTATCACTCTCACTGACACCGATAATGGGACACTATCACTCTTACTGTCACCAATGATGGAGCATTATTTTTCTCACTGACATAAACAATGGAGCATTATTCTTCCCACTGACAACAACATTGGGGCATTAATCCTCCCACTGACACCAATGAAGGAGCAATATTCCTCCTCCAACTGACCACAAGTGCTAGTTCATCTGTGACCAATGACTACCAACTGTGGGGCATTTTTTACTTCCATTGAGCACAAAACCTGGGGCTTACTTCGACTAACGACGGGACATTTTATACTTGTACTAGCCACAGTCTGACCACCATATGGTCTAAATGACAGTGCACTGGCCCTTTGTTTAGAACTTTGAGGCCCCCTGCTCTACACAGTGGTCAGGCTTCCGATAAACATGAGTTTATCCAGACATATTTTTTGCTTGATTGGATAACTCATGTCTGTGGGTACCTTTAAAATGGAATGGGTGTTCCTCATGTTTTTCTTCAACAGAGCATTTTTAAATACATTTTCAAGTTATTTTCCACTTACCAAGCACGTTATTAGGAACATTAGACTAATACTGGGTAGGTCTCCCCTTTGCTCTCAAAACAGTCTCAAATCTTTATAGAATGGATTACATACAGACTTTCCTTTAAAATTCTGGTCAATGTCAAATGATTGCATCACGCAAATCCTGTGTTCTATCACATGCGTTCTATTGGGTTTAGGTCTGGTGACTAGCCTACCATCTGTGTGACCAGACCACATTTTCTGTCTTCTGCTGTCCAGTTTTGGTGAGCCTGTGCCCCAGTGGGGAAGCTGGATATTCTATCACCTGGGGCAAAGGCTCAAAGTCTCCACACCCAGTGGAACCCAAAACAAAGTGGCACCCGGGGCACATGCCCCCCC